AAAAAAATATTTTTCGCTCGTCCTCTTAAACTACTTTTCTTTAGTTAATTAACTTAAATCTTGTGGAACATAAATCCCTCAAGTTTTCTTTTGGTAAGCAAAAGAAAATCTTAATAAATCTCTTTTTCCCTTTCCGAAAGAAGAACAAATAACCCTTGAAACCATAATAAACTCTTCGTCATAAAACGTATGATTAATATTAATTAAATAATATTATTCATACGCTCTGTTAAACATTTCTTTTCAGTTTCTTTTTTTATTTTCAAAAAAATATATAAACCCACAAAATGGTGTCTTTCGTTTTTTATATTCTTTTTTTTTTGCTGTTTTTTAATTACTATTACAATTTCTGGCCGCAATCATTTCATGAAAAAAAAAATAAAATAAAAATACACAATCTGATGGAAAATCTTTTTACATGTTGCCCCCTCTTGATTTTTTTTGTTTGACTTGCCTGGGCTGGGTTTTTTACCGACATGTTGTGTACGATGAGCTGTTTCATTTTTGTGCTTTATTTTAGCCAGGACATTTGAGCCTGTAAAACTGTTATTACAACTACTGTCAGCCATTTAACCCATTTACACTTTTTTTGCTTTTAAATATGGAAAAAAATAAATTCTACTTGAAATAACAATTTTTTGTTTGTACATTTATGCGGTACAAAAATGAACAGTGATTAAGACGAAAATGAAACTAGTAAAGAACTAGAACAGAACTAGAACAGAACTAGAACAGAACTAAAACAGAACTAGAACAGAACTAGAACAGAACTAGAACAGAACTAGAACAGAACTAGAACAGAACTAGAACAGAACTAGAACAGAACTAGAACAGAACTAGAACAGAACTAGAACAGACTAGAACAGAACTAGAACAGAACTAGAACATAACTAGAACAGAACTAGAACAGATCTAGAATAAAACTAGAACAGAACTAGAACAGAACTAGAACAGAACTAGAACAGAACTAGAACAGAACTAGAACAGAACTAGAACAGAACTAGAACAGAACTAGAACAGAACTAGAACAGAACTAGAACAGAACTAGAACAGAACTAGAACAGAACTAGAACAGAACTAGAACAGATCTAGAATAAAACTAGAACAGAAACTAGAACAGAACTAGAACAGAACTAGAACAGAACTAGAACAGAACTAGAACAGAACTAGAACAGACAAGAACAGAACTAGAACAGAACTAAACAGAACTAGAACAGAACTAGAACAGAACTAGAACAGAACAAGAACAGAACTAGAACAGAACTAGAACAGAACTAGAACAGAACTAGAACAGAACTAGAACAGAACTAGAACAGAACTAGAACAGAACTAGAACAGAACTAGAACAAGAACAGAACTAGAACATAACTAGAACATAACTAGAACAGAACAAGAACAGAACTAGAACAGAACTAGAACAGAACTAGAACAGAACTAGAACAGAACTAGAACAGAACTAGAACAGAACTAGAACAGAACTAGAACAGAACTAGAACAGAACTAGAACAGAACTAGAACAGAACTAGAACAGAACTAGAACAGAACTAGAACAGAACTAGAACAGAACTAGAACAGAACAGAACTAGATCTAAATCCGAACTAAACGAACTGATCGAACAGTTTGAGATAGTGCTGCTCTATTTTTAAATTCATACACTGTTATTTAAAAATGCAAAACCGTTTTCCATTGCTTCCTTATTACTGTTGTTGTTGTTGCTCCCACCAAACCCCACTCATGCCTTACAATACATTCATGAATACATGCAACCGTTTTTTTTCCACACAAATTGTAAATACATATAACGGGAGCAAACGAACGAGCGAAAAGAATAGTAAACAAACAAATATTTGAATAACAACAACATTTGCAGGCAAACAGGCATACAATAATAATAAATAAACAAAAACAAACGAAAGCAACAACAACTTTAATTTTCACTACACAACATTTTTAACATGTAAATGTGTGTATGAACGAATGAATGTAAGCATGAGTACGTGAGTAAATGTACTACTCTGGGTACTTTACACTTCACTCCTTTTAATTTCCCTTACACTCTTTTTTTTACACTCTACAAACTACAAATAACAACACATTAATAACAATTTTATGTTGTTGTTGTGTTTTCCGTTAGTAAAATTATTTTATGCAGTGTTTTTCTCAATATTTTTTGTGGATTTTTTTTTATTTATTTTGAAAAAAAAAAATACAGAAATGAAACTAAAACAAGACCTTGATTTCATTTTTTAAACAAAATTAATAAAAGAAATTTTGTTGTATTTGTTGTGCCTTACAGAATTCAACAGAGAAAAAATTGAGGGTAAAAATAAAAATTTTAATCAAAACCTAAATTGAAGTAGCAAAAATGCAATAAGAGTAAACAAATTAAAACAACATCGCAGCATTTTGAACTGTAATTAGTTGAGAAAATTCGGTGAGAACGTTTAATCGAATAAAAATTTACTTGAATTCTGAATATCTTTTTCTATTTTAAAACGAATAATTGAAAAAAAAAAAAATATTCGAATAACCGATTAAAATTATTCGATTAATCGAATACAAATTTACCCAAAATTTAGATTTTTTAATTTAACATTAAATTTTTTTAATTAAATAATGTTTAAACAATTTTTTATAATCGATTAAAATTATTCGAATAACCGATTAAACTTTATACGATTAATCGATTAAAAATTTTCGTTTAATTGCAGAAAAAATGATGTCCTCTTAGTAAATTGAAATAAGCCTTAAAATCTAAGCGAATAAAAAATTATTCGAATAAACGATTCAAATTTATTCGGTTAATCGATTAAAAATATCCGATTTTTTTTATAATTATTTTCTACTTAGTAAAATGAAATATGCTTCAAAAATTTACTACGAATAAAAAATTATTCGAATAACCGATTCAATTTTATTCGATTAATCGATTAAAATTATACATTAAATTAATGAAAATAATTAATTTCATTTTATTAAAATTAATAATGCCTGAAATTGAACATAAAATATTCTATAAATTTGATGCGAATAAAAAATTATTCGAATAATTTTTTATATATAACCGATTAATCGTTTCTAATTAGCCGTTTAATGGCTTAAAATAACTGATTTTTTGGTTAGTAAAGTTTTTGATAAATTAAAATTACAAAAAATTTATAAAAGTTAATCGATTATTCGATTAAAATTATTCGATTAACCGAATACAAATTTTCCAAAAAAATAGTTTTTCTATGAAAAATTAGTTAGTAGTATGGAAAAAAATTAAAGTTAACCGATTAATCGATTAAAGTTAACCGATTAATGATTAAAATTATTCGATTAATCGAATAAAATTTTTCGAAATATAGTTTTTGAACGTTTTACTGTGAAAAAGAAGTAAATAAATTGAAATGGACAATAAATTATAATAGTAAACCGATTAATCGATTAAAATTATTCGATTAACCGATTAAAATTACTCGATTAATCGGTTCAAATTATTCGATTAATCGATTAAAATTATTTTATTAATCGAATAAGAAAAATTTAAAAAGGTGAATAAATGATGATAGTTAACCGGTTAATCGATTAAAATTATTCGATTAATCGAATAAAATTTAAAAAAGGAATGTTTGTTTATTTTTTGTAAAGTATTAATAAATTGAATGAAATAGTCAAAAAATTATGATAGTTAACCGATTATTCGTTTGAAATAATTCGATTAATCGATTAAAATTATTCGATTAAGGGAATAAAATATTTAAAAATATAGTTTTTGATCGTTTTTCTGTGAAAAAGAATTAAATGAATTGAAATGGTCAACAAATCATGAAAGTTAACAGATTAATCGATTAAAATTGTTCGATTAATCGAATAAACATTTTCAAAAAAGTTTTTTTTTTATGAAAAATTAATTTGTAGTTTTCGTACTACAAATTAATTTTTCATATAAGTAAAAACATTATGAAAGTTAACCGATTAATCGTTTAAAAATATTAGAATAATCGATTAAAATTATTCGATTAATCGATTAAAATTATTTTATTAATCGAATAAAAATTAAAAAAAATTGTCGTTTAAGAAAAATTTAATTATTAAATTGAAAAGGTGAATAAATGATGATAGTTAACCGATTAAAAAAAATTTTTTTTTTTTTTTTGTAAAAAATTAATAAATTAAATGAAATAGTCAAAAAATTATGATAGTTAACCGATTATTCGTTTGAAATTATTCGATTAATTTATTAAAATTATTCGATTAATCGAATAAAATTTTTAAAAATATAGTTTTTGATCGTTTTTTCTGTGAAAAAGAATTAAATACATTGAAAAGGCCAACAAATCATGAAAGTTAACCGATTAATGGAATAAAATTATTCGATTAATCGAATAAAAATTTTCAAAAAAGTTTTTTTTATGAAAAAATTAATTTGTTGTAGGAAAAAGTAATATCATTATGAAAGTTAACCGATTAATCGTTATTCGAATGAAAGTTAACCTTTTAATCGTTTAAAAATATTCAATTAATCGATTAAAATTATTCGATTACAATTATTTTATTAAGCGAATAAACAAATTGTTTTTTTAAGATAATTGTAATTACTAAAATGAAAAGGTGAAGAAATGATGATAGTTAACCGGTTAATCGATTAAAATTATTTGATTAATCGAATAAAATTTTTCAAAAATAATATTTTTTAAAAAAAAATATTTTTAAGAAAAATTAAATAAATTGTTAATAAATCTAAATGTTAAATAATTTCTACGATGTTTTTAATTACATTAGTAGTTGTTGTTTTGTGTTATGTTTTACAAAATTTTTTTTCGAATTTTAATTAAATATCATCGTAGTGTTTGATAAAAAAATTACAAAGAAATTCTATTGTTATCAGCAGCAGCAGCTGACATTGTGTTATATAGTTTGTTATCAAATTATTGTTAAATTATCAATTATTGAACTATTTTTTATACCAATAACAATATTAACTTATAAAGATCTTGGGCAAGGTTACGAGATGGCCAGACGTTCTAGATGAAAGTAGTGCAACCACACCTTTAACAAGAATTGTGTCTGTGAAAGAATTGTGTTGAAAAAAAAAAAAAATATAAATTTTATATTATTTTAATAAATGTATATATGAAGCTAAGCCGCCTTAGCGTATACTTAATTTTTTTGACATTTATTTGGAATTAATAACAATCATACGCCTTAGTGTTTAATTTGTTTGAATTTGTTGAAATCTTTAATTTAATGGCAAATTTTTTCAAATTTTTCTTTACAGAAATGTTTGTTTTAATTAAACAATTACAACGAATACTTTATATAGATGTGCCCAACTTAAGACATCTATTGAAATACTCCAAAAGACACAAGGTAAGTTTTGAACTAGAAAATATGTAAAAATTTAATTTAGATTTTTTTTAAATTTTTTTAATATTTAAAACAATTTGTTTACAGCTGTTTAAAAACAAATAATTAGCAACTAATTGCAACTTTAGCACAAAGTTTGAGAGAAAAATTTTAAAATTTTTTTTGCAAAAAAACAATCATTAGCAACTTGGCAAGAAAGTAAACTAAAACTTTAACACATTTCCCCGTTAAACTAAAAACCCAAGAGTGAGAGATTTGTAAAGCAAGAAAAACTAAAAAACAAATTACTACAAAATACTTAATTGAAGAAACGAGTAAACCTTTTTAAAACCTGAGGAAAAAAGGAAAAAAAAACTTGTTAAACTATAAACTAAACAAACAACTACAGCTTTAAATAGTCCACAAACTGGTCAGACACTAGCAGCAACATCATTATTCCACACATTCCTTTACTTAGTTAAAGCAAAACTCAACCGGACCACCACCATCATCATCATCATCAACAACAACAGCTCAGTTTAGCTCTCTTTTTTCGACCAAACGGAAACAACCAAAACAACTAAACATCTCCAACATGGCGTTAGGAAAATCCATTAAAATGTACCTGACTATATTTGTAGCCACTACTTGCATGTACATGGTACTGTATCAGTATCACATATCACGGCAACCAATGCCACAAGCCGAAATCATAAAGGTAAGTTGCACACATGTTTTCCCTACTCCTCTCAACACTAAAGCAAATTTTAAAGAAATTTTCTTAAAAAAAACAACTAGAAATTTAAAAACCACTAACCTCACTCTTTTTGCATAACACACACGGAATGTTTTAAATAAGTATTCAGCACACACAACTTGCACCTTTTATTTGCCAACAAATCTAAAATCCTTTTTTCCTTTTCCTTTTCCTTCTCCTTTCTCTTTTAAAACACCCAAACATGTTGCGAAAAACCATAGAAAGTTTGGCAATAGGAGGGGTTAAAAATGCCACAAACTACCTTAATTCTAAAACAACTAGTACACCAAACTAATTAAAATAATTACTTTTACCGGAATATGCAAAAACTATAAAAGGTTTTCTCAAAAAATATCAAATTCAGTTGTGTTTTATAAAATTTTTTAAGCAATTATAAAAGTTTATTAAACATTTTGTTTATATAGCTCGTAAAAACTAAATTCAGCTAAACAAAATTACTTCAAAACTATAAATTTCTAAAATTTTCCAACAAAATATATAATTTAGCTTCTAAAAACTTAATTCAGCTAAGCTAAATTACTTCAAAACTGTAAAATTCTAAAATTTTCCAGCAAAATATCTTATTCAGCGCCTAAGAACCTAATTCAGCTGTGTTTTTCCTTTATTCAGCTAAGTAAATTACTTCAAAACTATAAATTTCTAATAAAATTTACAATTCAGCTCCTAACAACTCAATTCAGCTGAGGCATTTAACAATTCAGCTAAGTAAATTATTACATAACTATAAAATTCTAAAATTTTTTTAGCAAATTTCCAATTCAGCTAGCATAATATGCAATTCAGCTAGCTTAAAGTGCTATTCAGCTAAGTTATTTTGATGTAATGTAAGAAAATTATAAGTTTTATAATAAAATTTTTAATTCAGCTGCTGTTAAACACAATTCAGCTTGTTATTTGTGTATTTAAATTAAACAAAACACTGTTAAATTTAAAAAAATCTTAATTCAGCTAAGTAAATTACCACAAAACTATAAAATAATTTAATTTTCTAATAAAATACCAATTCAATGCAATGACTTTGTTGGCATAAATATCCCATTCAGCGAGCTGCAAATGCAATTCAGCTGAAGAATTTTAGAAAAATAGTTAAAAAATAATAAATTTATAGCAAAATTTTACATTCAGCTGGACTCATTTACAATTCAGCTGAATAATTATTATAAATTCAGCTAACAAATTAAAGTCTAGTCTATAGTCTAGTCTATAGTCTAGTCTATAGTCTAGTCTATAGTCTAGTCTATAGTCTAGTCTATAGTCTATAGTCTAGTCTATAGTCTAGTCTATAGTCTAGTCTATAGTCTAGTCTATAGTCTAGTCTATAGTCTAGTCTATAGTCTAGTCTATAGTCTAGTCTATAGTCTAGTCTATAGTCTAGTCTATAGTCTAGTCTATAGTCTAGTCTATAGTCTAGTCTAGTCTAGTCTAGTCTATAGTCTAGTCTATAGTCTAGTCTATAGTCTAGTCTATAGTCTAGTCTATAGTCTAGTCTATAGTCTAGTCTATAGTCTAGTCTATAGTCTAGTCTATAGTCTAGTCTATAGTCTAGTCTATAGTCTAGTCTATAGTCTAGTCTATAGTCTAGTCTATAGTCTAGTCTATAGTCTAGTCTATAGTCTAGTCTATAGTCTAGTCTATAGTCTAGTCTATAGTCTAGTCTATAGTCTAGTCTATAGTCTAGTCTATAGTCTAGTCTATAGTCTAGTCTATAGTCTAGTCTATAGTCTAGTCTATAGTCTAGTCTATAGTCTAGTCTATAGTCTAGTCTATAGTCTAGTCTATAGTCTAGTCTATAGTCTAGTCTATAGTCTAGTCTATAGTCTAGTCTATAGTCTAGTCTATAGTCTAGTCTATAGTCTAGTCTATAGTCTAGTCTATAGTCTAGTCTATAGTCTAGTCTATAGTCTAGTCTATAGTCTAGTCTATAGTCTAGTCTATAGTCTAGTCTATAGTCTAGCTATAGTCTAGTCTATAGTCTAGTCTATAGTCTAGTCTATAGTCTAGTCTATAGTCTAGTCTATAGTCTAGTCTATAGTCTAGTCTATAGTCTAGTCTATAGTCTAGTCTATAGTCTAGTCTATAGTCTAGTCTAGTCTAGTCTATAGTCTAGTCTATAGTCTAGTCTATAGTCTAGTCTATAGTCTAGTCTATAGTCTAGTCTAGAGTCTAGTCTATAGTCTAGTCTATAGTCTAGTCTATAGTCTAGTCTATAGTCTAGTCTATAGTCTAGTCTATAGTCTAGTCTATAGTCTAGTCTATAGTCTAGTCTATAGTCTAGTCTATAGTCTAGTCTATAGTCTAGTCTATAGTCTAGTCTATAGTCTAGTCTATAGTCTCTATAGTCTAGTCTATAGTCTAGTCTAGTCTAGTCTATAGTCTAGTCTACAGTCTAGTCCATAGTTAGTTAGTCTAAAGTCTAGTCTCTAATATAATCAAAATTTTGTCCGTCGTTACTGAAATTTGTTAAGACTCACCTTTTTATCGTGCTCGAGATTAATCACAACTATTTTATTATAAAATCTCACAAATTAATATGTGATAATATTGATATGTATGTGTATGTGTGTATATTTACAATTTAAGGAGTATTTTACTTAAAACCACCTCTTAATAAAAAACTATATCAGGCTATAATTCAGCTAAAGCTGAATTAAACCTCATTTAAACTAGAAATGTCTATATTTAAATGACTTTAATACTTAACTAACTACTATAAGTAAAATCTATCAACTTTTATTTCCGATATGATCAACCATTGTCTCTAACTCTTGCTCAAACTCCTCTCGCTGATTATCGTCTAGACATGAATTTAACGCCTCGCTCTCATCCAACTGAGATATGATAACCGGTAAACTGCGGCGTGGATGTGAAATGTATAGGAGTGTGGGAAAATTAGGAGGTAAACTATATAAAGAATCGCGCGTCTTGAAGTCTTTCTGTTTACTACTGTAATCCTCATCATCATCGGCCAAGGTGTTGATTTGCATGTGATGAGTATAACGTTTATTCCACATGCGTTTCAGGGGCTGCCAGATAAAGAAGAGAAGGGATATGAAGATTATAGAGGCACCAAAGATATGACAATACAGTTGAAGGTTGTTCATGATTCTGAGTAATAGGGCGGATTTTTTAGAAATGCGCATATGCATGTCGAACCAAAAGATAGGGAAAAGCATGCGGCGTGTGTTTTGATAAGATCTAGAGGGAGAGAGGGGTAAAATTTAAGACATTTAGCTTCAAACGATTTCAGTTTAAATGATCAGTTATTACCTTATATGAGAACTGGGCTGTATGTAGAAATTCAATTGCAAACGGCCCTTAAGTTCCAACATAAATCCCGTTCGAGGATCCAAGACGGCCGTAGTTAAATGTTTATCTGACTCCGGTTTCATACCGTCTATTTTGGAGGCATAGAAAGGATCAGCATCCAAAAAATGAGGATTTGATATGAAAACGGGTAGACCAAACCAACAACCCGATATATTTACAGCACCATAGGGTAAACATTCGCCATTACAAAAACATTCATTAGCAGGATTTAAGGTACCATTATCGAAAGTATTTGGTGAGATTATATAACGATAACCCTTAATACCCTCTACCATGTACTCGTCAACATAATCCAAGTTGATGGTTCGACAAAAATCCGAGAAAAAATACTGTATTGATTCATTCTTTTTGAGATTAGTTTTCTGGAATTCACCCGCTGATCCCTTGACGGATGAACAGGCTTGGGGTAAAGGTTCAGAATAGTTTTTACCCTTCCACAAAACTATTTGACCAAATTCATCCATATTGCCCGCGCCAGTGCTAATAGTGTGAGTGCCCAATAAATCAGTGCTGCCATTGCGCTGTAGAGGATTCAAATATAATTATGTATGTCGCAGCTATTAGTGATAACTGTACTTACACCATATATAAAACCTATACGATCCCAGGGTACAAATATACCCATTGAACTGCGAAAGGAGGAGGGAAATATTGACAATAAATTCACTATATTATCCTCAAAACCCTTAAAGAAAAACTCCTCTGCCGTATGTTTCCAAACAATACCATTTTTATATAATCTCAAAGCCATATCCACTACGGCCCGTTTCACATAGTTCCAATCGCGGGTTTTCGAAGCGGCCGCCTAAACATTTGGTATTAAGAATATTTAATAATACAAAATTTTTAACTCATCTCTCTTTCTCTTAATTACTCACCACCAGCAAACCATTCACTGTCACCAATTTATCCTCCAAAGGCCTTTCACTTTTGGTCTCATCGAAATAGTACCAATGTTTTTTACCATAGTCCACGGTATTATTTTCAGGATGCCATTGAAAAATTTCTTTTTTAGGTATTTCTAGAAAACTATATGGACCCACTTCCTCAACTTTAGGTTTCACTTTGGTTTTATAAAAATCTTCAGAATTAGTCCAGTTAAAGAAGTGAATGTCTATGGTAACATTGACATCGGGACTTAACCACATATCCACAATTTTATTACCGGGACGTAGGATCATGTACTGGAAAAATATAAAAAAAAATTAAATTTTCTTAAGTCTAAAATCTGGCTTCTTTCGTGGTCTAGACTGTAGTCTAGTTATCAACTTTAGTTCGGTAAAAAGTCTGGTCTATGGTCTGGTCCCTAGTGTAGACTATAGTCTGGTCTCTAGTCTAGATTATAGTCTGGTATATAGTCTAGACTACAGTCTTTTCTCTAGTCTAGACTTTAGTCTTTTCTCTAATTTAGACTATAGTGTGGTTTCTAGTGTGGATTATAGTCTGGTCTGTAGTGTAGACTATAGTCTGATCTATAGTCTTGGTTATAGTCGGGACTATAGTCTAGACTATAGTCTGGTTTATAGTCTAGGCTATAGTCGTGACTATAGTCCATACTATGGTCTAGACTATAGTCGGGACTATAGTCTATACTATAGTCTAGTCTATAGTGTAGACTATAATCTGGTCTATAGTCTAGTCTATAGCTTAGTCTATATTATAGTCTATAGTTTGAGCTATAGTCTAGTTTATTGTGTAGGCTATAGTCTGTTCAATATTCTAGGCTATAGTCTGGTCCATAGTCTGGTTCATAGTCAAGACTACAGTCTTGTCTATATTCTAGACTGTAGTCTGATCCATAGTCAAGACTATAGTCTGGTCCATAGTCAAAACTACAGTCTTGTCTATAGTCTAAACTATAGTCTGGTCAATAGTTTAGACTATGGTCTGGTCTATAGTCTATACTACTATAGTCTGGTCTATAGTCTATACTACTATAGTCTGGTCTATAGTCTAGACTATAGTCTGGTCTATATTCTAGACTATAGTCTGGTCTATAGTCTAGACTATAGTCTAGTCTATAGTCTAGACTATAGTCTAGTCTATAGTCTAGACTATAGTCTGGTCTATAGTCTAGACTATAGTCTGGTCTATAGTCTGGACTATAATCTGGTCTATAGTCTGGATTATAGTCTGGTCTATAGTCTAGACTATAGTATAGTCAATAGTCTAGACTATAGTATAGTCAATAGTCTAGACTATAGTATAGTCAATAGTCTAGACTATAGTATAGTCAATAGTCTAGACTATAGTATAGTCAATAGTCTAGACTATAGTATAGTCAATAGTCTAGACTATAGTATAGTCAATAGTCTAGACTATAGTATAGTCTATAATCTGGAATATAGTTTGGTCCATAGTCTAAACTATAGTCTGGTCTGGTTTATACTATAGTCTGGTTTATTGTCTAGACTATAGATTGGTCTTTAGTCTACTCTATAGTCTGGTCTATAGACTGTTCTATTGTCTGGTCGTTAGACTAGTCTATAGTCTTGTCTTTAGTGGACTATAGTCTGGATTATATTCTGGACCGTTGTCTGATCTTTAATTTAATCTCCAATCTAGACTATAGTCTCGTTTATAGTCTGGGCTCTGATCTGTTCTAAAGCCTCGACTCTAGCTGACTTATAATTTAGAGTATATTCTGGTCCATTGCCTAGACTACAGTATGGTCCAGAGTCTAGTCTATAGTCAGGACCGTAGTCTGGTCTACAGTTTATATTGAAGTCAGATCTATAGTCTTGAACAAAGTTTGAAATGTAGTCTGTTCTTCAGTCAGCTTTATTAAATACTTACACTGTCTATAAAACGATTAACGAATATTTTCGAAAATACCGTACAGAATACACCCACTAAAGCTAAAAATATGACAAATAAAACCGTCAAATATTTGACATATTTCCTTGTCGACTTGATCATCAATCTGGGAGAACGTTTCGGCATCATTAACAGTTATAAATTATTAAGACTAAAATGAAAGATAAAACAATAAATCTAGAGATAATTTAAAATTTGTAATAAATCTCTTGGTAGTCAAGGGGATTTTTGTTTTAATTTTTTTATTTTTTCAAAAAAGGTGTTAAAGGTTAAATTTGTTTATATATGAATTTTATTTTATTGCATTTTTAATTAGATCTAAATAAACAACTTTAAGAAAATAATAAAAAAAATAAAATTAAGTTAGTCGTACTATGAACAAAATTATTAGTATAATGACAGCAAAACAGTAATAATAACAGCTCGTTAAAAAGATCACAATTTACACATTATTAGTTATAAGTAGTATATAGTAGAATTTTTTAAAAAAAATTTTTTAATTTTAATAACACTTTTTTGTTTAACCTTTTTTGTCGTCTTTAATGATCAGTAGTAACTGATTGTTATTAACATTTAAATTATTATTTAAACAAATATTATACATACAGATAACATCAAACTATATGTATGTAAGTATTTATAACATGTTTTTTTTTATGATCGAACTGCAGACAACTTACGAAATGCATACGATATTATGCACAAAATAAGTGATTGAATGAATGAATGCATTATGATAATTATTATGCTAATAATGTGTTAAAAGGGTTTTGAAAATAATTACCACAAAACACATTATTAAACGGTTCAATTAAGGTCAATTATTAATAATTGTTCTAGATTAAACAGTGGACAGGTTTTTCTACAAAATTCTGGGTTTTCTTTCTTCCTTAATCGATTAATCGAATTATTTTAATCGATTATTCGAATAATGTTATGCATTACTCCGATAAACAAAAATTAAATCATGTAAGATGTGAGTTTTTCTTAAATTTTTAATAGATTATTCGAATAATTTTATTCGATTATTCGAAAATTTTTTAATCGATTAAAAGTTTTTTACAATTGATATAAAAATATATAAATTTTATTCGAATAACCGAATAATTTTAATCGATTATTCGGAAACCGAATAATCGTATAATTTTTATATTTTATTCAAATAATTCAAATTCTGGAGTCAAAAGAAAATTTTTACCGATTAATCGGATAATTTTAATCGATTATTCAAATAATTTTTATTCGATTCATCATTTATTTTGAAATTGTTCACTTAATTTTGAGAAAAATATGTTAATTTTATTCGCTTAACCAAAAAAAAATTAAACGATTATTCGAATAAACTTTATTGATTATTCGAATAATTCTAATATTTTTTTTTAATTATCAATATAAGCAGCAAAAACCAGATTTTTAACAATAACGAAAATTTTATAATATTTTTTATCGATTAATCGGATAATTTTAATCGATTATTCGAATAATTTTTTAATCGATTAACATTACAATTAATTTTTAGATTGATTAACCTGATTTACAGAAAAAAAAATTTAATTGTATTCGGTTAACCAGAAAATTTTAATCGATTATTCGAATAAATTTTATAGATTATTCGAATAACTTTAATAATTTTTTTAAATTATCAAAATAAGTTGCAAAAGCAAGACCTTTAATAATAACGAATATTTTATAATATTTTCAACCGATTAATCCTATAATTTTAATCGATTATTCGAATAATTTTTTAACGATTAATCGAATTATTTATTTTTTCAATTGTTTACTTGATTTACAGAAAATATGCTAATTTTTGTTAGATTATTCGAATAATTTTAACCGATTATTCGAATAAATTTTGTTGATTATTCGAATATTTTTTTTAATTATCAAAATAAGTTTTAAAAACTAGATATTAAATAATAAAGAAAATTTTATAATATTTTTAACCGATTAATCATATAATTTTAATCGATTATTCGAATAATTTTATAACGATTAATCGGACTATTTATCTTTTAAATTGTTTACTTGATTTAAAGAAAAAATATTAATTTTTACTAGATTATTCGAATAATTTTCATCTATTATTCGAATAATTTTTTTCGATTATTCGAGTAATTTATTTAAATTATCAAAATAAGTTGCAAAAACAAGACTTGATATGATAACGAAAAATTTTAAATATTTTTTACCGATTAATCGGATAATTTTAATCGATTATTCGAATAATTTTTTAACGATTAATCGGATTATTTATTTTTAAATTGATTTACAGAAAATATGTTAATTTTATTTGGATAACCGGATAATTTTAAACGATTATTCAAATAAATTTTATTATTTATTCGAATAATTTTAATTTATTTTTTCAATAAATCAGTTCAATAACAATATTTTGAATAAATAAATAAATTATTCGGATAATTTTAATCGATTATTAGAATAATATTAATCGATTATTCGAATAATATTAATCGATTATTCGATTAATAGGATAATTTATATTTGATGTTTCACTTGATTTGTGTTAAACCCACTCGACTAACCAGATAATTTTAATCGATTATTCGAATAACATTTTAACGTGTCTTCGAATAATTCTTATATATTATTTTAGCGATCAAAATAGTCCTAAACAATTTGTGATAAAAATTTGGATCGATTAATCGAATAATTTTAATCGTTTAATCGGATAATTTTAATCGAATAATTTTAACTCGATAAATCTGATCATTTTTTACTAATTAAATACATTTAAAGATAATGTTTTTATAAATAAACAATTTTTGCTAGAAATTTTAGTCGATTAATCGGTTAATTTTAAGCGATTAATCGGATATTTTAATCGAATAATTTTTAATTTGACTAATGTGAAAATTTCTCTCTATTTAATTAAATTTATTTATAGAAAATTTCTTCATTTTATTCGTTTGCATTTTAATCGATTATTCGTATAACTTATTCGTATAACTTTAATCGTTAAAGAATGTTAATGATTTTTTCTAATGAAAATCCAATTTTTTTATAATTAAACGATTTAAAAAGATATTTCGTATCAATGAAAAAGTTATACAAATAATCGGATAATTTTATTCGTTTAATCGGTTAATTTTAGAAAATTGTTCGATTTTTTTTTTTTTTTTTTTTATAATTTTATTAAAAAGAGTAATATCAAACAAAATCAGCATAAACATTTATTTTTTTAATAAAAAATTCACTTTATGTGAAAATTTTATTCGGTTAATAATTCGAATAATTTTAATCGTTTTATTCAAATATATTGTTTATATATAATTTTAAAATTTTTCCAATATTTTGATTTACACTAAGCATAAAAATATTTTTTTTTAATTTTAATCGATTATTCGAATAATTTTTTATCCGTTAATCGTATAACTTTAATCGATTATCTTAATTTTTTTTAATTTACAATAGACATTTAATTTAGAAAGAGTTATTTATCTAGTTATTTAACAAAAAGTAAATTTGAATATCCGGATAATTTTAATCGAATAATTTTTAAATTTTATTTTATTATTTTTAACCAAAAATTAAATTCTTCATGAATAATTTTTTAACAAAGCACTGACAAATTTAAACCGAAATTTATTCGTTGTTTTAAATAATTTATTCGTAGTTTTATAACCGTTATTTTCAAAAAGGATATAAATCAAACTTATTTTTTCGATAATTTTTTTTATAAATATAGAGATTTTCTTTCTCCTTCACAATTTTACTCACTTTTAGAAAAAAATAAAACACTTTTCATATACAATTTAAAAGATTTATTAAAATCAAGTTTACTATTAATAAATAAAACAATTATTTTTTATTTTTAAATTAGAATTGTTATTAAAAACTTGTGCGCGATCGCGTAAACTTAAGTTAATGCGACTGTTCTCGTCAACGTCTTAAATTAAACTTTTCAACAATTAGCCGACGCATATTAACAAATAGTCTTTTCTAAAACTGTACTTATAGCAATAAAACCATTTTATTTCCTTCTTTTGCAACAAATGCCGGTTGGTAGTAGGCAGGTCAATCAGTTCAAAACAATAGAATTGCATTAAAAAGGGTTTAACCCTTAAACTAAACACAAGTATGATTAAGGGTTAAAAGTTTGGAGTTTTTTAAAAAGGAATTTTAAAACTATTTAAATATAAAGGGAAAGATGGACAGACATTTATTAAGGAACAATTTCCGTAAGTATCTCAACAGCTATTTTCCAAATTATTTAATTAATCGTTTTAAAGTAATCGATTAAAATTATTCGGTTTAAATTTTCAAAATATGCGAAATATTGTTTAAACAAGTTAAACTAATTGTAAATATAATAGGAAAACTAAAGAAAATGATTTAATAATCAATTAATCGAATAAAATGAAAATTTATTTTTATTTTATTCCATTAAAGATTTTCTAAATTTCCTGAAAGAAAGAAAATAAATTATTGTTCGATTAAAATTATTCGATTAATTCTTAATTAGAAAAATAATTGTTCGTTTAACTAAAAATTATTCGTTTAATTAAAAATTATTCGATTAATTAAAAATTATTCGATTAATCGTTTGAGAAATAAAAAAAAATTTTGAAATTAATACAATTTTCTCTTATTTATTGAAGACCTTAAAAAATTAAATAAAAATATTTATTACTCGATTAAAATTATTCGACTAATCGATTAAAATTAACCGATTAATCGATTAAATATTTAGATAAAATAATTTTTTCTAGCTAGAAAGTTATTTTTAGTTGGATTTTGATAATTTGACTAATATTAAAAAATTATTCGAATAATCGAATAAAATTAATCGAATAATCGATTAATATTAACCGAATAATCGATTAGAATCATTCGTAAAAGTATTTACAAAATATTCGTTTAAAATACTCTAATGATAAAATTATAAAATTATTTTTACAAAATCTTGTATTTTGAGGCTAAGATTAAAGGTTTGATTTAAGTTTTAAGTAAACATACATATATTCGAATAATCGATTAATTTTAAGCGATTATTCGATTAAAATTATTTTAAAACCGAAAACTATGCGATTAAAAATATTCTAAGGATAAAAATATTAACTTTAATTCGTTTATTCGAATGAAATTATCCGATTAATCGATTAATGTTTCTCAAAATTGTGTATTTTGATAAAAATTTTGCTCATTGATTATATATTAAGGTTTGATTTAAATGGTGTGTAAAAATATATTCGAATAATCGATTAATTTAAAGCGATTATTCGATTAAAATTATTCGGTTATTCGATTAAATTTAAAAAAATATATAAAATTATTTTTTTAAAATTATTCTAACGATAAAATTATAAATTTTAATTCGGTTATTCGTAGAAAATTATCCGATTAATCGATTAATTTTTTTCAAAATAAAAACTTGGCTTTTTGGTTATTTATTAATGTTTGATTTAAATTTTATGTAAACATATATTCTTAGAATCGATTAATTTTATGCGATTATTCGAATAAAATTATTCGGTTATTCGATTAAATGTTTAACAAAGTGAAATTATTCATTTAAAAGTACTCTTACGATAAAATTACTACTTTTAATTTGGTTATTCTTAGAAAATTATCCGATTAATCGATTAAAATCTTGTATTCGAATAATCGATTATTCGGTTATTCGATTAAATTTCTAAAAATCTTAAATTATTCCATTAAAAATACTCAAACGTTAAAATTATGACATTTAATACGGTTATTCGTAGAAAATTATCCGAATATTTTTCAAAATCTTGTATATTAATAAAAACTTAGCTTTTAGCTTATTTATTAAGGTTTGATTTAAGTTTTATGTAAAAATATATTCGAATAATCGATTAATTTAAAGCGATTATTCGATTAAAAATATGCGATTAATCGATTAAACGTTTTCTTTTAAATCTTATATTTTAATAAAAAAAATAATTGATTGAAGTTTTAGGTAATAATTTATTCGAATAATCGATTAAATTGCAGAGATTAATCGATTAAAATTAATCGGTTACTCGATTTATTTTTTTTTTAATTTTCTTTGTTAATGATTAAAAAAATTTTAATTATTTTAATCGATTAAAATTATTCGATTAATCGATTAAAATTATCCGAATAAAAATTTTTGAAATTTTTTTTTCAATGAAAAAATTAAATAAAAAAATAGTTTGCTTATTTATTAAGGTTTGTTTTAAATTTTATGTAAAAAGATATTCGAATAATCGATTAATTCAAAGCGATTATTCGATTAAAATATACGATTAATCGATTAAACACTTTTTTTAAACTTTCGATTAAAATTATTCGATTAATCGATTAAAATTATCCGAATAAAAAATTTTCCAAAAATGTTTTTAAATGAAAAAATTAAATAAAAAAGAAAATAAATTGTTTGTTGTAAGGAAAACTGCTAAATGTCTTCATTAATTAAAAACATAAAGCTAATCTAGCGTGTTAAAGGAGGTTTAAATGTTTTTTTGTGAAAACAACGTGCAATTGCCAGTTGTTTTAAACAACATTATTATTAATTTGTATATTATTTCAAATTACATTAAAATTAACAACAAATTATTAGTTTAAAAGTTTTAATTAAAACAATATAGTCTTTGTAAAATTAAAACTATATAAAAATTCAATGAAAAACTAGTTTTTTTTTAACAAAAAAAAAATCATTTATAATGGCAGATAGCAAACGAATACGCTGAGACGACCGAACGACAAGTCAAAGAGATGTTGACCCCGTTAACTCAACATAAAATTAAACTGATTAATTTAATTCTTTGCAGTGAACTTGATCAGTATATAGAACTGCAGAAAGCTATATAGTTAAACAGATAGTGCACTTAAATAGTTCAGTACATGATCTAAATACATATATATTTTTTTCTAAATCTAGTTAGAAAAATTGACGTTATAACCATTATTGTTATTCTATGACAATTAGTCGCGCGATTTAAATCGGAAATTGATAATTTGAATAAGAAATGAGTTTGAAAAAAAAAAAACAGTTCTACTGTTAACGATCGGTAAAATGACGATAGTTTTCTATATAGAATGGTTCACTAGATACTAGATACTTGTTGGTTCTACTAGATACGAGAAAAAACTATAATTACGCACTGAGTAAACGATCTCAAGTTTTTTCTTGAAAATTCTTTTATTTGATTACGTCGCTAAAGTAATTTAAAACAATCAATTTCCCTATTAACACTTTAAATATTAGGGTTGTACTATTTTAAAACCATTTCCTACAAAACTCGAAAAGTTTTCCACCCTTTTCCAATTTAATTCCATAGTTTTTTCCCTACAACTTCAACAAATCCCAAAAAAACAAATTTATAAAAATAATTTAAACAAATTAAAATAAAATTTCTAATTAATTAAATTGTTACAAATTCCATATTTATATTTTCAAAAGGTTTTTGAACTTTTTAAATGAATCATTTTATCATTAATCTGTGCTGTAAGTGCAATGTTTTATTTTTTTGTAATGCTGACTAGATGAAACTATATAATACATATGTTCTATAAAATAATTAATTATCATAAAAAAATTAACAACAATTAATATGGTTAAGTAATTTTCTCTTTATCTAAAGTCTAACTTATAGTAAATAAATAGAAAGTAATAGTTTGGAATATTTTCTATCATAACTTATTTATAGTAAACAAGTTATTAGTACCTAATAAAAACAAATAAATTTCTTTATTCATCACTATAACGAAACAAAAAAAACTGGGTCGGTGTCAGCTTAAATTGATCTTTTCAGATTAATAGTAGTAAAAAAGGTTATCCACCTTAAGGAATTTTTATAAAAACAAATAAAAATAGAAAAAAAAAGTTATTTTAAAGGGAAACACGTTTTGTCATTAAAACCGCTATTAAATATCTTATTATTATCTAGGCTATATAATAGGCTTTATTTCAGACTATAGTCTGGATGAATACTGGACAATAGACTGAATATTATAAGGACTATAAACTTACTTGAATCTGGTTAAAATAACTATAGTCTGAACAATAGACTGAATTTAGGCTGGACTATAAACGGACTATAGTCTGGACCACAGACTGACTATAGTCTGGGCTATATACTGACTATAGTCTGGACTATAGACTAATTATAGTCTGGACTATAGATTGACTGTAATCTGAACTTTAGACTGACTATAGTCTGGTCTATAGACTACCTATAATCTGGACTATAGAATAACTATATTCTGAACTATAGACTGAATTTAAGCTGGACTACAAACGGACTATAGTCTGGACTGTAGACTGACTATAGTCTAGAGACTGACTTTGTCTGGACTTTAGTCTAACTATAGTCTGGTCTATAGATTCACCATAATCTTGAGTTATGATTGACTATTATCTGCACTATAGACCCAATATACGCTGGACTGACTATAGACTGTCTATAGTCAGTATTATAGACTGAATGTAGTCTGGACTATAGATTGACTACATATAGACTATAGTCTGGTCTATATATAGACTTTAGTCTAGACTATAGACTGCCTATAGTCTGAACCTTAGACTGACTATAATCTGGACTATAAACTGTCTATAATCTGTACTATAGATTGACTAACATCTGGGATACAGTCAAACTATTGTCTGAACTATACACTGAATGTAGCCTATAGACTGCCTATAGTCCGGACTACAGACCGACTATAGCCTGGAATAAAGACTGAATATAGTCTGGACTATAGACTAATGATAGTTTGGACTATAGATTGGCAATAGTCTGGACTTTAGACTACCTATAATCTGGACTTTAGATGTATAATATTCGGTCTGTACTATAGACTAAATAGATAGACGGACTATAGTCTGGACTATAGAGTGACTATCGTCTATACTATAGCATGGACTATAGACGGACAATAGACTTACTATAGTCTGGACTATTGTCCGGACAATAGTCTAGAATGTAG